AGATTACTAAAAGTCAAACAACTAATTTATAAATTGAGTAACCTATTGATGGAAGTTTTGTAGGCATTCTGCAGTTCCAAATAGGTATCATTTTCCAAATGCTTTGTGTGCAGTTTATTAAATTGGGCTAGTTAATTTCTGGAAATTGAGTATTAAACAGGAAAAATGGTTGAGGATAATTTCCTTTGTTGTTGATTGTTTATTTTGGAGTTTTTTGCTAAAATATCTTAGCTAGTATGTGGTTGTGGATGAATAGAGTAGTGTCCTTCCTTGCAAGGTAGATTTAAAAAAAAAACAAAAAACAAAAAACCTCTGTGCTTACTCAGGAGTGAAAACATCAAATTAAACTGTTTATGCTGACAAAGGACAAAAATGGGTTTCAGCAAACGATGCAAGATTGTCTGATTGCTTGGCTTGTCTAGGAAAGCTTCTGGCCAAGACTTATAATGAAATGCATGCATAAAATTAAACCACTTGAAGTCTGTAGTTCAGCTTTCAGATACGGTAAGTATGTTCCAGTAGTCTCTAGTGGCTAAACCTAGTCCCCTGGTACCAGCGTTGCTTCATATTCATAAATCAGCTCTTCATGCATTGGCAACATTGGCCTGCAGAGCAAGCAGTACCACCACTGAGACAAGGCCCCTCAGCCAGGAACCAGGGTGAAAAATGATCCCAATCGATGGGACTGTGGAGATCACTGAATTTTTGCCTGGAATGAACAGCAAATTGAATAACAATGAGTGCGTGTGAATAAATGTCCTGTCAGGGAGGCCTGACACTGATGGATTAGGAGGTTCTAAATGCTACTCTCTCAAGGCTGCGTTCATCCTCCAGCGTGGCAGGCTGTGGTAGCAAACAGGTCCTTGCATGATGAAAATGGACTGTGCTTAGCAATAGGAAGTCGTCTTCATGAACGTTGTGCTGAAAAGATCCAGTTTATCTTTTCTAAAGCAACCATTGCAGTTGCAAAACCCAACAGAAATTGTCAGCTGTTTTTTTTTTTTTTCTGTGAATTAACAATTATCTTTCACTTTACATCTAATATGGAAGTTGTACAACTCCTTGAGTAAAGGCCAAATGGGATCTTTGATGTGATTTTATTATAGTCAAGTCCCACAACTTTTTGAACTTAGTTGTAAGAACTTAACGAAATTACAAATATTTCTTGGTGAAGTTAAAGATGGAAATAAACTCTTATGGTCTCACAAGTAAGTTCTCTGGTTCATGCTAACTATTAAACTGAAAAGTTCTCTCAGAATATAACTTGGCATACCAGTTTTTGTATTTTGATTGGCAGTCCACACTTTTATATGTTTAGATGCAGAATTAATACTTAATGAATATTTCTGTTTCTGCAGTGACGCTTACTGAGAACTTATGCAAAATAAATTCTTTGGGTCTGATAAGGCTTTTTTTTCCTTGATGATTGAGTTTCCAAGGTTCCTGAACTAATCTTTCATAGCAGTTAAGATATTTTTTAAAAATCTAGCTGAAAGTGTGTAGCTGAAGATCCCAGATTAAATAGTTATTTATCTAAGATAAACATCTTGTTTTGGTATTATTTTGGATCTGAGCTCAGTTAAACATACTACTTAATGACTGATTACGACACTGCTTTTCTGAATGTTTTAATAGGTTTGAAATTGAACTGGTGTGTTTTAGTAATGTTGAATCTTAACTGATAGTGATTTACATTGGATATTGTGTGTATGAAGTGGGAACATCTATCCCGAGTAAATGGGTTGCATTCTGCAATGTTTGGATTTTATCTTTCTCCAAACATTATGACTGGAAATTGTTCAGCTTGTTTCTACATAAAGGCAAAACATGCTTGCTAAAAATGAATTTTTATTGGGCACTGAATAGATAAACAGGAGGAAAAACTGTTTCCTACACACAAAGAGGTACTCCATAGCACCTTAATACGTAAGACTTCTGTGTTTTTATAGGTGCTGGCAATAAGAAAGCCGTGCTTTCAACTTTTGCTTTGGTTCACAGATTTTTATTGCCAGCTGTCCAGTTATAATGCATACTTTCCACAAGTTTGCCAAGCTAGTATGACCATTGTGGGGTTCTTTGGATCATACGTGGAATTTGACAACTACTAGGAAGCTGGTGTAATTGGAGAGTGAAGTTTGCAACTGTACTTGGAAGCAACTGTCCGCTCACTGCTGGTTTTCTATGTTTCAGCAGCTGGGTGGACTGTCAAGTGACTGGGCTTTAGTGTGCCAGGAGTACAAATAGGTCTTAGTTAGCACGCTGCAGGTGGACTATGAGTTCACATCCTCAGTATTTTTCAAAATAATTCATACTGCTGTTGTCAAGCAACAGGTGACTTGGTTTGATGGAGAAACTCAGAATAATACATCTATTTGTATTTCTAAAAGCACCGTGTTTACATCTGACACTAGTAAGAGTAAAGAGTTTTCATTGTGACATTTACGATTACAAAAGTCTGTTCGTTCTTTGAACGTTTAGCTGTGCTCTGAGACTTTTGCTAGGCACTTCTTAAAATGCAAGTTAGGGGAAGCATGCCCTTCATAACTATAAGCAAAAGAGGAAAAAAGCTGAATTTATTAAACTGCTTTTCCAGCTTTACTTCCTGTTCTGTTAGAATCTCCTTGGGATTTTGGTTTTTAGATGTAAATATTTACATACAGATCTAATTAAATTAACAGACTTTCGTCAACTCTTTGAAAATTTGGATTATAGGACTGTCTGGGCTTGTTTAAAGTTGATATTAAAGCTGGTATTTATTTGCATCTTGGTAACGTAATGAGATAATTAACAATGTAGTTCTTTATCTATAAAGGATTTTATGTAATATAACGTAAGGAGATATATATATATATTTTATTTTTCTCTCCAAGTCTTCTGAGTTTCTGTCCCTGGGTTCTTTCAGGAATTTTTTAAAATAGGAAACTGGAGGAATTAATCCAGTCTGATTGTGCGGTGTATGAGACTTCTTTTTACTCAGTACTGTTTCTTCTAAGAAGCTGCAGAAATGTTAAGTCAAATTACTGAATGGTTTGGAAAGATACCTGTAATTTTTTTTTTTTTTTTAAGAGGACCTCTATTATTATCAAAGATAGTTTTATTTGAAAATAGAAATTTTAAGAAATTAAGACTGCTTTCTCTTGGCTCAGTAGTTATAACATAGTAATCTCTGTCATATGTTGCATTTATATTTCCATTCTTGCAAATTTTTTTTTTTTAATATTTACACTATTTTTGTCACGGATCCTTATCCATGGATAAGATTTTTTTTTTTTTCTTTAGACTTCGTATTCTGCTTACAGTAGGCCTTGATTTGAGTGGCATTAGGAATGTAGTCTTAATTTGAGACCATCTCTCAGACTTTTTTTTTTTCCTTCTTCTTACTGGAAATGTTCCCATGTAATTCCACAGGAGCTATTTTATGGTTTGAGCCCTGTATTTGCTTTGGAACAAACCGTATTTTGACCTTGGTTGAAGGTTCAGTAAAATGACTTTTACTTGGTGATTTGTTCTGTGATATCAGCTGTTTGTATCAGCAGTTCATTTCTGCTATTAGTCTCTTAAAAATCCTTTTTATTCCCAGTTTCAGCATTTAAAAAATGGAGTCACATATTACTCTGAGGTGTAAATGAATAGTCATTGCCTGTAATACAAGTACACACTTAGAATGCCCCACTGCTTTTAGATGTGATGTATTTGGTACTGTAAAGGTAATGATCCTCAACCACAGCAATATTCTGTAACAGGAATATCTGTCATATTCATTGGGATTACCATGTTCATTGATTTGTGTCAGTAAATCTGCTGTTTCTACCCTTTAAATTTGATCTATAATTGGACCTCCTTAAATGGTTCAGATAAGGTAGTCTGTATTTCCTCAACAGTGTCACTGTCAGCTTCTCCTTTTTCATTATACATTCAGCAGACTTGATAAAATCAGCAGGACACCTCATTTGAAACTGTTTAATCGCTGCCTTTTTCTTTCACTAAACCATTGAGGTGGTCAAGCAATATACACAAATCATTTTAAATAGAAAATATGGCTTTCTCTGTGACCCAGCTAAACAGATAGCAGTATGCAAAACAAGTTAAAAAGTAATAAATGCCAAAAAGTCTCCTAATTGGTGTAAAAAATTGCAGGTAACTTTATTCACTCCCCAAAAGTAGAGCTCTCTGAAATATGGTCAGGGCCACAGATAGATAAGATATCTTCCTAAAGATTCACTCTTTCTGAACAAAGCAAGCTTACAATTTCAAATAGTATCATACTGCTTTTTATATCCATTTATGGAAAGCGTATTTATAACACCTGCAGTTACAGTGCTTTGAGTAGAGATGGGTTCTGTTACATTACTCCCCTTGCAGTGCATCCTTAAGTGGATCAGAGAGGTAATGTTAAACTCACGTTTTCATATCTGTCATTTTTGTCTATTCAGATGTTATTGTTCAAAGTAAAAAAATAATAGCACAAAATAAATACATAATAAACTGTTTTAAAGTAGATGTGGGAAATAACCTGATGGCAGCAGCCACCTACCCTGTTACCGTTGCTGGTTCACTCATCGCAGTGTGTCAAGGTGACTATGCTAGGGCAGCTCGTTAAAACAATCTATTCATTCTGAGTGTCTTAGTATTAAGTGACATATCTCCTAACGTGGCTAGGCGCAGAAGTGGGACAGGAGAAACAGAGGAGTAAGAATTAGAAACTGTAGCATTCAGTTAACTCATCTTTTCTAACCTCATTTTTGTATCAGTGTTTATTATTAAAAAGAAAAGGCTATCAGAAATGGGACCACAACAGGTCTTTGAGCACTAGATGTAAATTTAAGATTAAATTAGATGCTGGAGCTCAAGAGGATAGACACTTGACAGTATATAGTAAACTAAAATAGACTTTCAGTCTGATTTGTGCTGCTGTTATTTAATTGGTACTTTTTTTTTTTTAAATACTGGATCCAAATACACTGGCTAAATAACATTGTGTCTTAATTTTATTACCATAGGTTCTGGATCATTAGCAGCTATGGCAGTATTTGAAGATAAATACAAACCGGACATGGAGGTAAGAAATGATCTTTAAAAGCTCAGTGTTTCTTCCTTCAGTAATTTTCATGACCTTAAGAATTTAAGAGGCTTGAAGCTTTAAAAAAAGTTAAAGCTGCTCTAGTTTCCTGTACTTAAAATGTTTTAATGTCAGCTTACTGCAAAGCTTTCACAAATTTACATATTGATTTTCAACGCAAAAAAAATCTTATTTCTTGCAAACGTATGTGCTGATAAAACTTGTGTATTTTAATATAGCTCAAAGTTTTTTAAAAACAAATAACTTAACTATAGTTGACTTTAAGATTTTGATAGCCCTTGCATGGTCAGTTTTACTGTTGTGTTTTTTCTTCCCCCACCCCGTAGTCAGCCGTTCTCTTCTTTATGCAAGTCTCTTAATCTTTCAAAGGGAATACATGACTGTAGACCGACAAGATATGGAAGTAGAATATAACATATAGGTAGACCAAAACATAACATATAGTAGAATATAACATAACAAGTAGGTTTCAAGTTGATTGGGTATGTTGAGTACTAGTAACTGCACTTGAATTTTTCACATCTACTTAAAAGTTGTTCCTCAGAACATTTACAAGGTTGTGGGTTGTTTCTGTTTTGCTGCTACTATTGGTCAGGCTTGAAAAATATTTACGTTCATAAAACAGAATCATTCAGGATAGTTGAAAGCTGGTGTTTCATGATTTAGTTTTGAATAATATAGCAGAGTAATTTATTTATCCTTATTTTTAGGATTGTGTCCAGTACATTATTTCTATATCTGTACTATTTCTTTACACCTAGTTACACTATGATCAGTGCCTGCTAAGCTAAGCAGTCAAAAATCCAGTTATCTGCAGACATACTCTTGATGAAAATAAAACCAAAGGAAATAAAAGGCTTTCTGTGACCGTATCTTGTAAAATACCTCTGTAATGTTGTCAGGCCCTCTTTTAAACCACATTAATCTCTTCAGACTTTCTGTGGGTACTCCTTCTCATTGCAATTGATTAATAATTTTACAGTATAGAAAAGAAGAGTTGAATATAAAGGTGAAAATTGAAGTGCTTTGAAAATGCTTTGTAACACTAACGGTTGTGATCAGTTTTCATAATAGCATTTGAACCTAAAATACAGATGTAACAAATCTTACAGCTATTAAGTACCATTGAATAACGCAGAAAAGGTAGAACTGGATTTACTTCAGAAAGTTGGCATATTTTCCTTATCTTTATAGTGCATCTACTATGGGCCATTTTCTACCCTCAAATGTTGGCATGACTGGCATATATTTTCAGTGGGTAATCCAATAACTCCACTGAATTCCTCTCTGAAATGGATTACATAAATTCATAATTCAATGTTGTTTGTCATCCCTGTTAAATTTCATGAAGGAACTTGACCTGTAACATCAGTTGATTTTAAAAATCTGTTTCCGGCAGTTTTCCAGTAGTTAAACTGCTCAAGAGCTAGTGAGCGATAAGCGGTTTCCCAGTTATTCCAGGAAGCGGCTCCTCTTCTGTTGCTATATATGAAATAGCTGTAGCTGTGCTAAATTCCAAAAATGCAGGAAGATCAGGGTTTCTGTGTTGCTGGAGTCTTGGGCAGTATCTGGAGAAACTGGACTTTTGGCCTCCAGTATTTTTATGAAGGCTATCAAAAATACGGGAATATTTTTTAATTAGGCACTCAAGTTTCTTCTGTAAGTAGCATTATGTTGGACTAATAGAGATTCTACCTTTATATTTAATGGTTCTTTCTACCTTTTTTTTTTTTTTCTTTTTCTTCCCTCATGCTGTTGTGAGAATGACAGGCTTTTTGCAGCCTCCTGTGTGGCTATGCGCTTGGTATGTGTGCTATTCATACTGAAAACATGGACTACCAATCTTTGGAATCAACAGCTACAGAATAATAGTCCCCTTTCAAAGATACAAATGTCAAAGAGCTATGCTATGAAACTAAAAATCTTATCTCATTCTCAGCTAGTTTTCAAGCTTGTATTTTAAGTCATTCTTTGTGTAAGACCAACTAAAAAAAGGCACCAAAAATTGGTAAATTTCCAACTTTGCCTATTTAGAAAGGTCATCCTAATTAAATTGTCTTCATACACAACCTTAAATGGCAGCAGATAGTCACTGTTATAACAAGCATGTAGAAATGCAGCCTACCAATTTGTTGAAATGGATATTTAGGTCTTTGAGACTTGCAGGCACCTTAACCCTTTTTTGTTTTCCTGGGCATTCTGTTGGCTAGTAATAATTTGATAATTAAAATAACTAAAGCAGCAAAGTTTTAGGTGATAAAGCTCAGCTGTGCTCTTAAACACTTCTTCATATTTCATTATGGCTGCCAGCTTAAAGTATTTTTTTATTTACATTAATTTCAATAAAATAACCAAATAATGAATGATGTTTCTATTAAAATTAAAACAAATGAAATCTAAAGTACACAACTATGTATTGCATAAAAGTTGTTATGAAATGGCAATGATAAATTTCAAATTCCTTGAGATTAATTCATTAAAATGGGTAGAGGATTAATATTTTTCTGTCAAGATCAATACTGCTTTCCTTTGCACTAATTGTCAGAATATCGTGCTAGGGCTACTGAAGGGTAGTGGTGTGCTGCAAGACCATCACATCACAGAAAAATGATTCAAAGGCAGACTGTCCTGCACCCTCTGGTATCGACTTGCAAATTAGCATCTGGAATGTAATTAAACAAGCTTAATGAAAGTAGCAGCTGAATACTACTGGAAAAGACAGTCAGCCTTTTTCCCCTCTGATATATATTCTGTACTATTGAAGCTGATCACCAAACACATCGTGTGAGCACAGTTAAAAAAAATTAGCATTTATTTGAAGAATAGGAACTGTTTTTCATTCTGTTATGCTTTTGGCATGCACTGGTGTCCCATGAGAGCCATGCCACAGCAGATAGTGCACAATATTTATAAGTCCATGACAGGCAATAATAGCAACTTGAAAAATTCTTTTGCTAGAATTTCAAGTTGAGAGCTGCCAAAAGCTGAGAGGATCAAATCTGCAGTGGCAGCTGCTGTGCCCTACAGTTAGAATCGTAGACTTTGAAGATGCTCAACTTAAAAAAAAAAAAAAAAAAAAAAAATGAAGACTGCAGGCTTAGCCAATTTTTGCAGGTTTCTAGAGCCCTGGCTCTCTGCCTTTTGAAGATGAGTTGCTGAAGCTTCTACCACTGCCTGAGGCATGCTAACACCAGCAGGATGTGTGGTGTGTGTTGTTTTTTTTTTTTTTTCCCATAGACTTAGTGTATCTTCAGATTTAAGTAGCACATGCTTTATCAATGCCAACTGTGATGGTTCTTTCCCTGGTTGCAATGCTGGGAGATGATCTTTACCCAACATCCTTCAGAGAAACTGCTAAGATAGATGGTGACGTACACAAGTGCCACTTCTGCAATCTGATTTATGGAGGCATGTTTCATTATGAAGCAAGTGCTGGCCTCTAGAGGAACCATTATAGATTGCTGAAGATGTGAACACTTTCAGCCCTGAAGGCCTGTAGATGCTTCAAAAATGTAATGCCAAGCACCTAACTACTGTAGAACAATATTAATCTGTCATGTGGGCAGCTATAGATCTACTTTAAAAAACATAAGTGGAAGAACAGCACATCTAATGGAGTGTTTTGAGCTTAGATCTTTCAGAGCAGCCGATTTTTCTTTCAATAGTTTCAGTAGAGTAGCCACATGGCTTTAAACCTTACAGTCAGGTTTGCAAATACATTCACAGATTCCGATGTTAAAAATATTAATGAAGAAATAGATACGGGAACCATAATGACCTAAGAAAAATTCTCTCTGCAGTATTAAATGCTGGAATTCTAGATTTATCTGTATTGTAGTTTTTGGGCTCCTAGGGAGATTTGGGGGAGGGGAGATTATGTATTTCATGCTGGTATTTGACTGTATCTGTTCATGCTCGTATCTGTTTGAAAAGTAAGAGTTTGTCTTTATAAGAATTACTTGATGTACAGTGAGGCTACAGTCAATGAGGTTTTAGTCATCTGACAACAGCTTTGTGCTCAAGCAAGGAAGCAGGCTGCTTGCAACTCTTTCCTGTACTTCACCCAAACAACCAGGCTTAATAAAAAGTAAATCTTTGTGGAAAGAGTTCAGGGGCACAGAATAGGTGGGAAAAAATAGGAGCTAGTGTCTAGCAGATATTCAGTAATCACTTCTGAAACAGATTATGCCCTAAGTGTGAGCTATTTACAATCATTTAGTATACCTTTTTAGTATGTGATGGGAAGTCAGGTGCTAATGAATGAGAACAGAAAGACTCTGCAGGACTAGGAACAGATTTTAAAAAGTTGGTTTTCACTATATTCCACTTGAACCGTAGATACTTATCTTCCTGTGGCAGGAGCTGTGCTCTCCAAAAAGTTACGTTAACCGCATCTTGTTCTCTACCAGAGACTTGCACCCCTGCACCTCTTAGCCAGGTTTGCTTTTGTTATCATTCTGCAATGATTATGCTAACTTGTTTGGTTTTGACAAGCGTGGGTTAGGGAGCAATGTTATGAGCAGTTCAGCTGGCAAGTTTGGATAATTCTGTGCAAAAGGCAGAAGTGACAAGCAGATGAGGGCAAGTTGGAGGTAGGAACCTTCCCGGCAAATAGTTGCAGCTGTCAGAGTATGCATGTTCACAAAGGAAAAACAATAGAAAGGAAGAGATTGGAAGTGGTCTAGTTGTAAAATGTGTAGACTGGGGCTTTTCTGGCCCACGGTTTTGTTTCTGGCTTTGCCTCTAACTTTTGAGGTACTTGTGAGCAGCCCCGTATCCCCCAAACGAAGGCATGAAGAGTGCCTTCCCAGGAAGGCTCTGTGTGCATTGAAAGTCTTTGTTGCGTCAAAGTGGAAGATGGTGTAAATGCCAGGCTCATACTTTTTATTTTGGTTAAAAAAATACATAAGGCGTAGTACAAAATTTTATGAAAACATGTCATTTTCTTCCATTTTTAAACAGCTGATATAGAAATCATT